CTTTAGTAAAGAATTTTCCTTTCCAAGCACAAAGAATGCTTAGGAGACAGAAAGCGTGCCTACTCTGACCCCACTGTTGTGTGTCAAATGCTCCAACTACTATTGAGAACTAACATTTGTCAATGAAAAGAATTTCCACTGAGGATCAAACCCAGGGCCTCCGTATGCCAATCATGTGCCCCAACTGAGATATTTTCCCAGGCCCCTAGGCTCGTCTAGAATTCACAGCAATCCACCTGCCTCAGCCTCCTGGGTGCTGACATTACAGTTATGAGCCATAGTGCTTGGCAATAAACACTCTACCAACTGCTGTACCTGCTCACCCCGGGCTGTGGACTATTTCCTGACAAGTCTGAGAAACAAGAGAATCATCCTAACACGGCTCGGTAGCACACGCTCCAGGTAGCAGCTATGGGAGGAATTAAGTATCTTTTGCTTTCCAGTACAGTGATCACTAGGCAGGTGTTCTGACGGTGAACTGTACCCTGGCTCTATGGTAGTGACGGGTGGGACACTCGGGACTCTCCTAGGTCCTGCTTCTGTGGTTCAGAATCAGCGGGTACAGAGCCGGGGTAGAGATGAGAGGGTTCCAGAAGGTTCAGCCGGAGGGATGGCAGGGGCCATGGTGGGCACTGTGGGCCATGAGGGCAGGTGAGGGTGAGCAGAGGTTTGGGAATTGAGGGGTCTGGGTGGAATAAGCTCTGTGTAGCTGGGGAGGAGAACACAAGGAAAACACTTTTCTCCCTTTAATCTTTGAACTGTGTTTAAGTGTGTTAAAAACACACACAATATAGAATTTACCATCTAACCTCTTTATTTTATATTTCATTTTATTTGAGAAAGGATCTCACTATGTAGTCTTTGCTGACCTGGAACTTGTTATGTGGACCAGGCTGGCCTCCAACTCAAAAGATCTGCCTCCTGAGTGCTGGTATTAAAGGTACGTGCCACTATGCCCAGGTGCCTTTTGTTTTTTGGCAGGGTTTTAGGCATACTAGACTAACCTTGAACTGACCGCAAGGTAAGATGACCTTGAATACCTGGTACTCTGCCACCACCTCCTATCCACTCACTGGGATTTCAATTGTGTCTAAGACTTTGACCTCCAGGAAACCTCCTGTGAACAGACTGACTATACAGCGCTGTTAGCTGTGCTTGGGTCTGGACCTCTTTCCTCAAGAGTTGAAAGCTCCCATGGGCTTACCCAAGGAGTAAGGTCACTTGGTTCAAGGCCAAGCCTGGGTTGCACCATGAGGTATTCAATGGCACCCATTATTGTTGGGGCTTCTTACTGAGTTCCAAAGAAAGAGGAGTTGATTGTTATCTTCGTTAGGTTTCTATTGCTATAGAGACACCATGACCATGGCAACTCTTATAAAGGAAAACACTTAATTAATAGTTCAGAGTTTAGTCCATTATCATCAAGGTTGGCGGTGGAAGCATAGTGATGCCCAGGAGGACATGGTGCTGGAGAAGGATCCAAAAGTTCTACATCTGGATCGTCCTGCGGCAGGAAGAGAGAGCAAGAGACAAGGGTCTGGCTCAAGCTTCTGAAGTCTCAAAGCCATCCCCCAGTGACACACTTCCTCTCACAAGACCACACCTACCCCAGCAAGGCCACACCTCCTAATGGTGCACTCACTCTGAGTCTCTGGGGGCCATTTGTATTCAAACCACCACAGTTGCGAGAGGGTTTAGTTTGGGTGGTTCTTTCTTTTGATTGACGTATTAGGTCATACATTCATTTCTCCTTCTGTCTATGTCCCTTCCCACAATGCATCGGACTTTACTCACGTGCATACCCAATTATGTGGAGACATACATGGTGAATAAGAAGTCTCCGGACAATGTTGCTTGAGAACACAGTTCTCTTTTACAGCATGTGTACCCAAACCCCTCGAGGCCAGATCGGCCCCTCTAGTCTTCATACCTAGATACGGTTGGGAATATGCCTGAACAGAAACTGTCTGGATTTGACTGTTACCAGCGACACAATGCTTACTCCATTGTTCCAGAGGCGGGGTACACAGAGCCCGACACAGGTGGGGGTGTCAAGGCATTCTGAGGCTGCTAGGTACGTTATCCCAAGGAGGGGGGAGCATACACCCATAACCCACCCCACTCCTGCTTTACCCTCCTGAGTGCTGGCTTACAGATGAGCTGTATACATTAATTTTTCCCTTCTAGTGCTGTTTTTGTTTGGTTTTTATTGACATATGTAAATTATACACTATACTGGGTTTCATCATGACACTTTCATACATGTATGTATTTTGATTATATTTCCTCCTCGTTTAAGGTAGAGATACCTCCTGTGCATATGGAGTACACGGTGCTGAGCTTTTCATCCACCTAAAAAGCTTAGTATGACGAGAGTCTTTCCTGTTGATGCAAGAAAACACCCGGGGGGGTGGGTAACATAATATAACAGAGGGTTACTTAGTTCAAGGATTTGGAAGATCAAGAGCCAGCACTGACCTCAGCTCTGCCTGCTAGGAGGAGGCTCACAGGGGGAGTGGGGAGCCAGGAAAGGAGGGGATACCGGACTTACTATTCCATTACAACCCACGAGCAGCGTTCTTCTGGAGTACAACATTAATCCCTAGAGAACAGCGGCCCCTGGTTAAGATTTCAGAGACTGAACTGACAACCAGGGAGCCTACATGGGACTGACCTAGTCCCTCTGCATATATGTTACAGTTGTGTAGCTTGGTCCTCTTGTGGGCTCCTAACAGTGGTAGCAGGGACTGTCTTCGACTCTTACTGGGTTTTTTAAACTTTTATTTAAAAAAGATTTTAAACATTATTTATTGTGTATGCGGCATTCTGCCTTCAGGCCAGAAGAGAGCACCAGGTCTCATTACAGATGGTTGTGAGCCACCATGTGGTTGCTGGAATTGAACTCAGGACCTCTGGAAGAACAGTCAGTGCTCTTAGCCTCTGAGTCACCTCTCCAGCCTCTTTTTACTGGCTTTTGGGACCCGATTCCTTATACTGGGTTGCAGTTTCTTACTGCAACGTGACATGCCATGTTTTGTTGATATTCATGGGAGACCCACCCTTTCCTAAACAGAAAGAGAGAAGTGGGTTGTGGAGGTGGGAGCAGAAGGGGGAGAGGGGAAGGGACTGAGAGGGAGGAGGGAAACTGTGGCCAGGATGTGAAATACATAAATTTATATAAAAAGATTCTACCATCCGCAGCACAGCGACACACGACAACCAGATCCAGTCCCTAGCACTCACACCCTTCTTGAGCAATGGGCTGTCAATCTTAGGACAGAATCCACTTGTCTGAGACCCCGCTTTTTTACTCATTTACTTTTGTTGTTCAGCATTTTATTTTATTTTATTTTGATTTTTCTTTTTTATTTTTTCCCGTTTATTTATTTATTAAAGATTTCTGTCTCTTCCCCGCCACCGCCTCCCATTTCCCTCCCCCTCCCCCAATCAAGTCCCCCTCCCTTGTCAGCCCACAGAGCAATCAGGGTTCCCTGACCTGTGGGAAGTCCAAGGACCACCCACCTCCATCCTGGTCTAGTAAGGTGAGCATCCAAACTGCCTAGCATTTTATTTTAATTATGTGCATGGGAATGTGCCTGTTTTTGTGTGTGGCGTGTGTAGACAAATTTAGGTGCCTGTGGACACCAGAGGCATTAGGTCCCCTTGGAGCTGGAGTGAGTCACCTGACCCGGGTTCTGGGGACCAAACTTGGGCCCTCTGCAAGAACAGTAAAAGTTCTTAACCTCTAAGCTGTCTCTTCAGCCCCACCGACCCTGTTCTTAAATGTTTATTAGTTTACAAAGAGGTTTTAATATGGCTTATCTTCAAATAACGTTTGTTTTTACTGTTTCTCTCTTCCCTTTCTTCCACATCCCCTCCCCTTCCCCTGTGCCCTCTTAACCCAGTGACCCCTCTCCACTTCTTTTTTTTTTTTTAAGTTTTTCGAACCCCTCTCCACTTCTACGTCACAAGTGACACTCTTCAATTTTGTTGTTTATTTGAGACAGGGCCTCCCTGAGTAACCCAAGCTATCCTCAAACTTAACCCTGTTTCTGACTCCCTAGAGCCAGGCTTGTGGAAGTCTGCCACACAGGCAGCTTGTGGAGCCCTGCTCTAATTCCTTTGGGTACGTACACAGAAATGGGATTGTTAAAAAAGCAGAAATACTTCTGAACCTGCCTCTTACTCCTTATCAGAGGTTACCTAGGTACACCCAGGGCAATGGATAATAGACTCACCCTTGGGCCCCACCTATCTGCCAGAGGGAACAGGGGTCAATCTCACCTACACAAGATTGAGGATCACTCTGAAAAATCCAGACAGTGCCACTTCTGGCCCAAAGCAGCAGTGCCACCCCAACCTTGTGTTCTGATCACAGGTTGAATGCACATAAAAGATACACACCCTGGGGTTTACAAGGCAGGCCCAGCACGCCACCAGGAACTGAAGGCATGGACAGGGCTTCCACTCGGGATTGTGCCATCAACACTATTAAGACCACGCAGCAGTCACTTTGGGGGTCAGGTCCCAAATGTATCACCTTCCTCAGGCAAGGCTAGTGAGAAGACAGTTGGAGGGCAGGGTAGTCAGGCCATTGTCTATGCTTATCAGTGGGTATCCTGGGTCTAGGGAATCAAATCCAGGTACTGGCCGAGGCTGGGTGCTTGGAATCCCACCGACTTTGAGCATCCGGAGCACAGCCTAGTTCCAGATGGCTCTCAAGAAATCTGAGAATCCCTGACAAGACACTCAAGAGTAGAGGGTGGCCCCAGCAGCACACAGCATGGGTGTTTTATCCAGGATCGCCCCCCTAACCTATCATCCAGCCTAGGGGGAGACACAGGAGCCTGACCCAGTCACACCCTAACAACCAGGCTTCAGTTCACAGGTCAGGGGTGGGGACAGAGTGACTTTGTATCTAGGGGAGGGACATGACCCTTTACAGCCAGAAACAAAGTCCTTCTCTGACTCGAGTCCAGACAGGTCAAATAGCAGTTGGTGCCTTGTTTTCTAGCCGCGCAACTTACCAGTAGCTCCAGTCATGCAGGGAGACCTGGTGCTGCTATTGTTGTTGCTGGGCCTCAAGATACATCCGTCCTTTGGTGTCATCCCAGGTAAGAAGGCTCCTTCCGGACTCTCACAGGATTAACCTGACATCCCCACTTGGACTAACCTAGGTCTGCTTCCTCTTGGCCAGCGGAGGAGGAGGACCCAGCCTTCTGGAACAAAAAGGCAGCAGAGGCCCTGGATGTTGCCAAGAAGCTGCAGCCCATTCAGACGTCAGCCAAGAACCTCATCCTTTTCCTGGGGGACGGTGAGTTTGCGAGGTCTGGCCACTCTGGGGTCCTTTGCTCTCCAAGCACCCTGGGGACTCAGGTCTGATAAGGTGTTGCTCCTTCAGGGATGGGGGTGCCCACAGTGTCAGCCACCAGGATCCTAAAGGGACAGTTGGAAGGCCATCTGGGACCTGAGACACCCCTTGCCATGGACCGTTTCCCATACATGGCTCTGTCCAAGGTGAGTACTGAGCCACATATCTGGGATGAGGGAGAAGAGGTTGGAAATGGTTGGAGGAGGAAGAATCTAGAACTGGAGCCCAAGTTGGCAACCAGAACAGTATGGGCATGTCCCAGGAAGACAGGACTAATGTCTACCAGTAGCACACAGCTGAGAGTGTCTCTGTCCCCAGACATACAACGTGGACAGACAGGTTTCAGACAGTGCGGGTACAGCTACCGCCTATCTGTGCGGGGTCAAGGCCAACTACATGACCATTGGAGTGAGTGCAGCAGCCAGAGTTGACCAGTGCAACACCACATTTGGCAATGAGGTCATCTCAGTGATGTACCGTGCAAAGAAAGCAGGTAGGTTGGTGCTGGGCTTGGGAGCTCGGGCAGGTCTGGATCACTGGGTGACATCCTATCATCTACAGGAAAGTCTGTGGGAGTGGTGACCACCACCAGGGTGCAGCACGCCTCTCCAGCCGGCACCTACGCACACACGGTGAACCGTAATTGGTACTCGGATGGAGAAATGCCTCCTTCTGCAGTTCAGGAGGGCTGCAAGGACATCGCCACACAACTCATTTCCAACATAGATATTGATGTGAGCTCCAAGAACCATGGGGAAGGCTGGACCAAGGGATGAACCTTGGACTGGCCAAAGTCCAAGGCATAAAATGTCTGAACTCCAGGTCCTCTAGTAGGGGGGTATGGAAAGCCCAGGAAAGGTATATCCCACAGATATGGTGGTGGCACAGGCATTGCATGTCAGGGGGTGCAGGACTCATAAAGCCCTAAGTCTATCTGTGCTGATTATCTGGCCAAAGGTGATTCTCGGTGGAGGTCGCAAGTACATGTTTCCCAAGGGGACGCCAGACCCTGAATACCCAAATGACAGTAGCCAATCTGGAACAAGGCTGGATGGAGAGAACCTGGTGGAGAAGTGGCTGAAAAATCACCAGGTGATATGGGTTCCAGGGGAGAGGCCAAAGCAGGGCCCAGGGCAGGACTGCACCCCAGGGCTGTGTGCTAAGACTGGCTCTGTCACTGCAGGGTGCCCGGTATGTTTGGAACCGCCAGGAGCTCATTCAGGCATCCCAGGACAGAACAGTGACTCACCTCATGGGTAATACCCTAGTTCTGCCCTGGCACCTCTCAGTGGGTCTGTATGTACCCCATGAACCCCCATCCCCACTTCCCAGCTTAGTGGTCACCATGGATTCCTGTACCTCTCAGGCCTCTTTGAGCCAACAGACATGAAATATGATATCAACCGAAACCCCTTAATGGACCCATCCCTCAAGGAAATGACAGAGGTGGCCGTGAGCATGCTGAGCAGGAACCCACAAGGCTTCTACCTCTTTGTGGAGGGTGAGTGGTTGTGCCTACGGGGAAAGAGGCAGGGCCAGGGTCCCAGAGCAAACTCAAGCATCTCCCCCATCACTGGCTTCCTGCAGGGGGTCGTATTGATCAAGGCCACCATGAGGGCACAGCTTACCTGGCATTGACTGAGGCTGTCATGTTTGACTCGGCCATTGAGAGGGCCAGCCAGCTCACCAGTGAGCAGGACACGATGATCCTCGTCACCGCTGACCACTCCCACGTCTTCTCTTTTGGTGGCTACACACTCCGGGGGACCTCTATTTTCGGTAGGGCAAAGGACAGTGTCAGGTGGTGTTCCTCAAGTATATGGATAACGTTGGGCCTCAGTTTCCTTGTCAAAATGTCACAAACAGCACCTGCCTTGTAGGGATCGGTGACCATTTAACTATTGAGCAGGCAAAGCGGTGAGCTTGCCTGAACTCCAAAAGCCGTAGTCAGTACAAGGACATGTTGTCTCCGTTCCTCCATGCAGGTCTGGCCCCACAAAATGCTCAGGATGGCAAAACCTACACCTCCATTCTCTATGGCAACGGCCCGGGCTACGCGCTTAGTTCAGGCGAACGGCCCAATGTCACCAGTCAAGAGAGTGGTAAGGGCCGCGGTGTTGCCTAACTGGGCCTGCAGGCAGAGAAGCCCAGGACGCTGCTCCTTCTGAACACCCTGTCTCCCTAGGTGACCCCTCATACCTGCAGCAGACAGCTGTACCCCTGTCATCAGAGACCCACGGCGGGGAGGATGTGGCGATATTTGCGCGTGGCCCGCAGGCACACCTGGTGCACGGAGTACAGGAGCAGAGTTACATCGCGCACGTCATGGCCTTTGCAGGCTGCCTGGAGCCCTACACCGACTGCGGCCTGGCGCCCCCTGCTGGCCAGAGCAGCACCATCGCCCCTGCTGGCCAGAGCAGCACCATCGCCCCTGCTGGCCAGAGCAGCACCATCGCCCCCGCTGGCCAGAGCAGCACCATCGCCCCCGCTGGCCAGAGCAGCACCATCGCCCCGACCAAAGTCACAAACAGCGCAGCAGGCCAGGCCACTGCACTGTTGTCCCTGAGGCTGCTGCTTAGTGCGCTGTTGCTGCTAGTAGGGACACGCATAGCGGCACCATGATGGTCCGGTGCCCTGCTAGGCTCCTCCCCAGTGTCAAACCGCTGGTCCCTTTCACCCCCACTCAGGGTTTCCTTTGCCCTATCAGTCCTGAGTTCTAGTCCACAACTCTAGTGGCCACCTCTGAGAAAACACTCTAGGCTTTATAACTTGCCCCGGGGCTTCTGCTTCTCAACTGTCTCTGGAGTGGGAGGTACCAAATGATACCCAAGAGGCCGAGGCCCAGGGTTGCCCTAGACTCTCCTTCACACCATCACCCTTCACAGGGACCCAAGGAACTTAGCTTTTCAGGTCTTGGCTTGCTCCCAAGAAATCCAAGCAGAGGTCCAGGAGGCCATGGGGTCTCGGCAAGCAGCCCAAAGCAGTCTTGGCTTCCCCCCTGCCCATCTCCAGCTACACATAGATACTGAACACGGGCTATTTCCTACCTTTGGGGCCTCCAATCTTTGAAGAGACATAATGACAATAAAATGAACTGTTACATAAGCCAATGCTTCCAGTACTTTCTAGTAAGAAAACCCTGGGCACCTGGGGCACACAGTGCAGGTGGGCAGGTGGGTAGTGGATCTTAGGAGGTTGGGGAGAGGCTGTCTGAAGAAGAGAGCAGCATGAAAGTGGACAAAGTTCAGTGAGCCATGACCTTCAGGCCCTGCCTTCCGACCAGAAGGTGCAGGTCTCCAGAGGGTCAAATTGCTAAGCCACACACACAGCTCATTCCTGGCCTAAGGACTCCCTAGCTGGAGAGGCAGGGCAGGGGGTGGAGCAAAGAGGCCCTGATGAGTGCAGCCTGGGGCTGCAGTGATGGTGAAGCTGCTCAGGTGGAGGTCAGGGGATGCCTGGACACCTAGCTCAGCGTTCGTACCCTGTCCTTCACCCAGAGCAGCCAGCAGGTGAGAGTGGCGGCTGGCCTGGCCCAGGCAGATGTGGTGGCGGCTCCAGGGGAGCATGCATCACTGCCTCCCTCTCTCAGGCCACATCCTGCTCAAGGTGGGCGAATGCCAGCGGGCTCTCCCAAGGTGGTAACACCTGCCCTGGAAAACATTTAGGCTCTCCACTTTACTATCCCAGGAGACAAGGGCAGCTGGGGGGGGGGGGGCAGGGGCGGGGCGGGGCACGACTCCAGTCTTCCCAGGCTCCCATGGGGCTGCAGTGAGCACCAGCTTGTGACCAGGGGGTCTGGATCCACCCTCCAGAGCTCCCATCTGCTTCCTGTGGTGCGGCTTTAGCAGAGATAGAAAGTTCAAAGGTCTGCCGGGCGATGGTGGCGCACGCCTTTAATCCCAGCACTCGGGAGGCAGAAGCAGGCGGATCCCTGTGAGTTCGAGACCAGCCTGGTCTACAGAGATACTTCCAGGACAGGCTCCAAAGCCACAGAGAAACCCTGTCTCGAAAAACCAAAAAAAAAAAAAAAAAAAAAAAAGAAAGAAAGAAAGTTCAAAGGTCACTGAGTAGGTAGCTCTAGGAAGGTGGTAGAGGGGCCCTGAGGCAAGGAGCTGCAGCGCAGGAGTGGAGGACCTGCAGCCTTCCCTGCGGTGCCATGCATGGAGCAGATGAGCTGGGACACCTGCTAAAGATACTGAGAAGCTAGCAGCTCCTCCTCATCTTCCTGGAAGATCTGGTCCAGCGGTCACTTTTACTGCAGCTGTGGGGCTCAGGACAGGAAACAAAGGACAGCGAGTACAGGATATCCAGGGACATGGAGGACCTTGACCATAACTGAGAAGATGACCCAGACAGAGTTCCAGAACCTCCTCACATTGCCGGTCCCTCAGGTCTGTACATCCCTCTGAGAGCTGATCTGCAGCTGCCCCAGGGGCACTTTGCTGTGCATGGCGATGACGTCTTGCTGAGGGGTGATATGCTTGGACACAGAGGTCTGGGGTGGAGAGCAGACTGGCCCAGTTCTTATCTGTGTGCCCTGTCCCTGCCCCAGAGATGGCCTCCCCCAGCTCCTGCGGCTCTAGAGCTGGCCTCCCCCAGCTCCTGCGGCTCCCGTTGGTTCGCCACTGCTCCAGCTTTTCCCCAATCCTACACAACATCTGCTTCTTCTGCTTCACATCTGCCTCCAGCAGGCCGAGCAGATGCTCCTAGGACACCCATCAGGATAGAGGCTCTTCCATGAGGTTGAGAGAGTGAGGGATCCCCCCGGGATCTAATCACCATCTCGATCGGGGCTACTGCCTCTCCCTCTGACTTCCTTACTTAGGAGGTGGATATCACAGATTCCAAGGCTCGACCTTGGAAATCTATTTACTATTTACTATTTACTCCCTCCTCCAGAGTTCTGCCTGAGCCCAGCTCCCCCTAGCTCCCCTCCCAGTACCAGGCCACCTGCTGGATTGCCAACATCTGGGGAGTTCCCAGGAATAGCACTCATATTCGTGTGCAGTGGGAAGAGTGTGTGTGGTCCAGCCTGACTGTGAAGAATACGGTCGCGCTGTCCATGTCCTGAGCCTCACTCAGCAGCCGGCTGAGGATCAGAGTCTTTGCAGCCAGTGCCATCAGCCCAAGTGTTCGGAGCACACACAGTAGTCACGGTAACGGTGCTCCGGGGGCTCCTTCGTCTTCTATGGGCTTCACTCCTGCTATGACAAGAAGATTCTCCATATAGTCCTAACTGAGCATGTGACCCTGCAGATGGCCAGGCCCCCACAGCTCTGTGGCGAGCACTCCTTTTGGTCCAACCATGAACACACTGTACCTAGCTGCTCAGTGGAGCGGCAATAGCCATGTGTGACAGACATGGAGGCCCTTCAGTCAGGAGGGTTGAGAAGGCCATGGACGTAGCTTGGTCCTTTCCCTTGGCTCCTTAAAGGCTGGGCAGACCTGGTCTGAGAGGAGAGATATCATACAAACAACGAGCGGATTCCTGGCTGGATGGGGGCTGACGTGGCTTCTAGACACAGCCCACCCAGTGTCGGATGCTCTGTATCAGCCTAACAAACCCCCGGTAGTCCTGTGGGCTCGGAACCTCTGATCACGAGGTCTGCTGTATGCAACAGCAGAGGGAGGAGGCAATGGCTCAGAGGTTAAGACCACTGGCTGCTCTTCCAGAGGTCCTGAGTTCAGTTCCCAGCAACCACATGGTTGGTGGCTCACAAACATCTATAGTGAGATCTGGTGCCCTCTTCTGGTACGAGGTAGGACACTGTACACATAATAAATAAATAAGTAAATACATCTATCTTAAAAAAACTTTCTTCCCTGCTCCCATATCCACCCTTCATCCATCCCAACCGTCCCATTCCCCCAAGCTCTCCCCATCCCCCCTTCTCACTTTTTTCTCCCCATATCTCCTTACCCTCCCACCTCCACCCCCCAGTTTCCAATTTTTGCCTGGCAATCTTGTCTCCTTCCAATATCCAGGAGGATAACTATATGTTTTTCTTTGGGTTCACCTTCTTATTTAGCTTCTCTAGGATCACGGATTATAGGCTCAATGTCCTTTATTTATGGCTAGAATTCACTTATGAGTGAGTACATACCGTATTCATCTTTTTGGGTCTGGGTTACCTCACTCAGGATAGTGTTTCCTATTTCCATCCATTTGCATGCAAAATTCAAGATATAATTGTTTTTTACCGCTGAGTAATACTCTTATGCATACATATTCCACACTTTCTTTATCCATTCTTCCATTGAGGGGCATCTAGGTTGTTTCCAGGTCCTGGCTATTACAAATAATGCTGCTATGAACATAGTTGAACAAATGCTTTTGTAGTATGATAGAGCATCTCTTGGGTATATTCCCAAGAGTGGTATTGCTGGATCCTGGGGTAGGTTGATCACGAATTTCCTAAGAAACCGCCGCACTGATTTCCAAAGTGGTTGTACAAGTTTGCATTAAGGGAGCCATTTTAGGGTTGTCAAGAGACTTGACTCTAGAGGTGTACCCAGGTGTCCATGGAGATGTCCCCAGCTAGATCCTTGGGCAGCTGAGGAAAGGGAGCCTAAAATGGCCCTATCCTTTAGCCATACTGATGAATATCTTGCATATCACCATAGAATCTTCATCTGGTGATGGATGAAGCTAGAGACAGAGACCCACATTGGAGCACTGGACTGAGCTCCCAAGGTCCAAATGAGGAGCAGAAGGAGGGAGGAAGTCAGGACTGAGAGGGGTGCGCCCACCCACTGAGACGGTGGGGATGATCTAATGGGAGCTCACCAAAGCAAGCTGGACTGGGACTGATGAAGCATATGATCAAACCGGACTCTCTGAACGTGTCAGACAAGAAGGGCTGACTGAGAAGCCAAGGACAATGGCACTGGGTTTTGATTCTACAGCATGTACTGGCTTTGTGGGAGACTAGTCTGTTTGAATGCTCACCTTCCTAGACCTGGATGGAGGGGGGAGGTCCTTGGACTTCCCACAGGGCAGGGAACCCTGACTGCTCTTTGGACTGGAGAGAGAGGGGGAAGGGGATGGGGGAGGGGGAGGGAAATGGGAGGAGGTGGAAATTTTTAAGTAAAAATAAAATAATAATAATAATAATAAAACAGAAAAAAAACCCCTTTCTTCAGTAGGAGGCAGAATGGTCACACGGCTTCTGCCTGTTCCTGGGGGGAGGCTGCCATGAAAGAAATGTAGAGAGTGCCTAGGGTACCTGCCTGGAGGTGTCCCTGTGCACTCTGAACCTTTTGGGGGTCCACATCTATCCCCAGCCCATGCCATGTGCTCCCTGAGTGTCGAGGACTGTCACCAAGCTCTTAGTGAGCTGTCCTGGAGAGACCCAGCGAGACAGAAGCAGTCAGGAACCATCCCTGCGCCTTCGCTTAGAGAATACATAGAATCAAAATAGATTTGTCAACCTTAAAAAGATAAAATATTACTGTAGGTCACAGAGGGAGTGGCCAAATGAGATCAGTCCAATTAACACCGAGGCTGTGGACTTGATTTTAGATGCAGCAAAAACTGGGTCATCTGAGCATTGCTGGTGGGCATGTGGAGTTGCAGAGCTATTCTGCAAAATTGTTCATCATCTCTTCAGTGGGCTGGGGTGTGGTTCAGCTGTCCAAGCATTTTTCTAGTATGCACGAAATCCTCGGTTTGATCCCCAGCACTGGGCAAGGTGGTATACGATCCTCCCACTCCTTGACCACACATTGAGTTCAAGGCCAGCCTGGGCTACAAGTGGCCCAGCTTCAAACTATCAGAAACTCAAAGTCAAATCAAACGAACCCACCCGAGGCTGACTGTGGTGGCATCTGCCTGTAAGTCCGTCAGATTAACTGTGACTCCAGAGATGGAGGCAGAAGATGAGGAGTTCAGAAGCAACCCCAGATCTACAGTGAATTTGAGGTCAGCCTGGGCTACATGAGACCCTGTATTAAAAACAAAACAGATGGGGTGCTGTGGCATCAACCTGAATTCAAGCATTTGGGAAGTGGAACCTGTAGGATCAGGAGTTCAAAGTCATCCTAGGTTACATAGCAAGTTCCTGGCTAGCCTGGGCTACATGAGACACTGACTCAACCAAACC